CATTTTTGAAACTATGTATGGTAATTTACAGAAATAGTTTCTGTACTAGCCTGCATATACCCTATAGATAGAGTCTTGTTTTGGTGGTATTTAATAACCACTGTTTGTTTAATTTTATAGTATATACAGGAAAAATAGACCTACACATTGGGGTTGCTTACATTTACCTTTCATTTCTTTACCTTTAACCCCTTCATGACTGAGGCCCTTTTTTCATTTTTTGCACCCATGTTATATTCCACATTTTAGGCCTGAAAATGATGTAAAACCCCCCAACATTATATATTTTCTGAATGCCAAGACCCTATAGAATAAAATGGTGGTAGTTGAAAATTTTTATGTTGTGCAATATTAGCGCAACTCCTTATTAAACCCCAAAATTTAGTGACAAATTTAATTAAATGCCCCAAAACACAACAAATTACCAATTTTTTTAATGAAATATAAAAGATGAGGTTACAACGAGTAAAACGATACCCAACATGCCCAGTTTACAGATTGCGTGCGACCGTGAAACGGCGAAAAACTGCAGTACCCCAAAAAGTCAATAAAAGACGCTTTAAAAAAATCCCTCATCGTTTAAAAATAACAATACCAACTGTGTAGACAGATTTTTGACTGGTAGCACACCAAAAGTACTGCTTGGTCAAGAACATACACCAGCCTGCTGATCAGAGGACAATAGAGTAGGTACTCTTTGGTGCGGTCATTCCCACTGCATATTATGGCGCCTCCTACCAGCACATGTGCACATCTCCAGGCTGCTCATTGGATGACAATAGAGCAGAAGCACATTGATGAGGTTGCTGCACTTGCTTCTCGTGTCAGCACCGCAACAGAGCTTAAATGTTTCCTAATCCTGGCCCTTGTTATCCCAGTCTACTTTACAGATCATTATAGCTACGGAAGCTGCATTTAAAACTATTTATCTTCAATAGAATATATGATTATAGTGTTTGGTTTTATATTCTGTTCTATGACTGGAATGGTGGTTTAGCCTTAAAGGAGAACTGTGGGGTCAGGGCTTTTCCCCATAGTTCTCTTTAGGGTAACAGGAGGACACAAACTAGCATCCTCCCGTCACCCAAAGCTCAGTATAACCCATTCATTTATATGCTGAGACGCCACAGCCGGGACGGATCCCGGCAATACTGTCTGGATCCACCCTGCTGCGTGTGTGACAGCTGGCTCTGCCTATCTAAAGGCAGAGCCAGCTGTGCCAGCCCCCTCTCCTGTCCGTTCCACCAGTCAGCGCTGGAGGATCAGACAGGGGAGGGGGAATCCCTGCAGGGAGCCGTGAGGCTACTTTTGTTCTCCATGGTCCCTGTTTGTGTTGTAAAGTAGTACTTTCATTTTATAGCTTTACAATGCAAATTATATTTCTGTATTGTTCCAGTCCAACGTACAAGAATCTGACTTCTCATGTGACAGGTTCACTTTAATGTACTTTCACAGACATAGATAATTACCTTGCTTTTGCTCCCTCAATGTGCTGTTCAACTGCTGTGATGAGGGAAGAAAAACTGTGTGTAGCCTACAAGTTGCTGAAGTCATATCATACACAGGGTTATTGACTGTCTGCACTGATTGGCCCATCACTGTCACATGGAAGTAGTGGGTATTTCCTTCAGATCCTCCCCCTCCTCCATTTAATACAGTAGCAGGGGTTACAATGAGAAAGTATGCATATGCTACTAGGGATGGGAGGTATAAAACAAACCTGCTGCTTTGCCCTAAACTATCTCTGGTCTCAAATGTTAAATACACCAATTTCCATATACCTAAGCTGGCATAAGACGGCTCAGATTTTAGCTCATTCCTGACACACAGTTCGAGCTGTGGGCCCAGCAAGTACCACTCGGCACAACAAAAGTCGAGTTAAAATCCCACTAAGCCATATGGAAATTATCGGTCAAACAATGATTGCTTCCTATCACATGCAAAGATACAAGGGGATATATCACTGCCCTATCCCATGCCGAGCCTCCAAACTCTGGGCAAGTGTGGGTGCAGTCCAGGAGCCATCCATGCTACAACAGAGCAGCACAGAAGAATAAAGAGCCGCACACCGCAGCCCAACCAACATTCAATGATTTAATCCATAAGGCTGCAGATCTCAGCATTCCGAGACTCCCCACGTAGAAGTCGGCCACTCTGACACGTTTCACCTGTTTAGGGCTTTTTCATAGAGATACGGGTGAAACACGTTAGTGTGGACGTCTGGGAGTCTCGGAATGCCGGAGTTGTTCAGCCTTATGCATTCAATCATTGAATGTCGGTTGAACTTCAGTACAAAGCTCTTTTGTCTCCTATCCAATGCAGTCGCTGTTCGGGAGTACCGATGTATTCACCATGGCTACTTAATACAATAATGTGAACCAAACTAACTTGCGCTAACGGAAATAGTAAAACTAAATTAAGATGGATTAAAATTTAAAATAGATATTAATATGACCCCGGAGCTAAAATTTCTAAAACCAAAAAGGAAAAAAGCTGCTGAACTCAGGCTAAAAGCCTACAGAATAATGGTGTAATGAAGTGTACAGCGCTAAATGCCCTTCAGGAAATTAGATAACGGTAGGGATCATATGGTGTCACCTCCGTGTCAAGCAATCGTGAAACAGTGTATATATAATAAATATTTGTGTAAAAACTTACAGTACGTTATAAAATGTGTCAGCAGGTGTCATAAAAGGCGTGTCATACATAAACCTTATTAAATAAATAAACAAAAATCTTCAAAGATCTTTGAAGATTTTTGTTTATTTATTTAATAAGGTGCATGTATTAAAGATAGGCCTACAGGCCTTTGAAGATTTTTGTTTATTTATTTAATAAGGTTCATGTATGACACGCCTTTTATGACACCTGCTGACACATTTTATAACGTACTATAAGTTTTTACACAAATATTTATTATATATACACTGTTTCACGATTGCTTGACACGGAGGTGACACCATATGATCCCTACCGTTATCTAATTTCCTGAAGGGCATTTAGCGCTGTGCACTTCATTACACCATACTTAATACAATAGCCAGCAGTAGAGATTTTACCATCCACACTGTTTAGTTTGGTGTGGATGGAAGAATTGGCTGAACAAGAAAAAACAAGCTGTGTGTGGCTAGCCTTATTCTTTATAATGTTTTATCTCCATGTTCTCTGTCAGCACAATGCAATCTCTGCATAACTTTCCAGGTCACATTGCTTGTCTGCAGTGTGATTCTGTGTATACATTAGTAGAACAAAGCTCTTATAGAACTTCCAAATGTCTTTATATTATCAGCTGTGGTCATGACCCATATCAAATGAATCCCCCATCTCCTGCTGTAGAGTGCCCTGATTTGCGCGAGTGGGTCATGCTTGATTCTGTTGCGTCACTCTTGACATTTTCTGGAGCATACTGTGCAGATGCTACCTTTTCTTTATTCCAACAGAATGGCATGTCACGGGCCTGCTCCCACTTAACACATCATAATAACAAATGAATGTGCACACAATGTAATTTGTCTCTGGCATGTTCATACCTCTTGCTGGATTCCACCTGCTGCTCTGTGGGTACCAAGCCTGTATTCCAGTCTTATGTTCAATATTCCTAAAATTTGCATTTTCCAGTCTTATGTTCAATATTCCTAAAATTCTCATTAGGCACTACTTGTATTTAAAGTGGAGTTAATATCTCAATATCTGAAATTTGGCTTCATAATTTGCCTACAAACGTCAGGTGGTCATAATAATCTGTCCACTCATAGTATGTATATATATATGTATGTATGTATATATATGTATATATATTAGCGTACAATCCCAGACTGGAAGCAGCAGAACACTTTCATACATGTGACAGTACCTGGGCACACCTAGTTTATTAGGATTTACCTTACCCACTGATACTTCTAATTAGGATTGCATTGATGCTTTCCTTCGAGGACGGGGTCTAGGAACAGGAATAGCTATTTCACATAGACACTCTGCAGAACTTCTAACTCACCGTCCCACCAAACACGCTGTAAGCATCTATCCTTGTGGGAACACCATCCCAGTTTATTCTAAAGTGTGACTCAGATGTTCTTGATTCTGCCTGTCCCAGCACTGCTATCCTCTGAGAAGGTGCACAGATGTGACCCTGCAGCCACATAGTGACAGTAATTAGAGCAGACAGATTTAATGTTTGCTGGAAAGTTTTATTACTTCCCTTCTGACTTTTCTCATTGCCTGGAGTTGCTCTTTACAGGGACAGTTTTATATATGGTTTTATATTCTGAGCAACTGATGGTTGCTCAGGCAGTTACTTTACCAGCATCATAACATTTTCTGGTCCAATTTCTCATTTGATATAACACTAGGCCTGTAGGCCTGCAGGCCTTCATCCATTTGTAGAGGGAACATTAGACAATAATCTGTGAAGGTTCTCAGTTATCCAGATCATGATGTAGCTAGTAGTAGTTGGTCACATTCAGTTGGAATTGTGCTGTAATGTTGAAGACGTTTTGTATCATCTTCA